TTTATTTTTAATTATATAAAAATTAATTAATATTTTAATCAGTAATGAATAATTACTAATATTATATTATTGTAAAGTCAGATTTAATAATAAATAACTAAAATTTAAAACATCGAATAATACTAACATAAATAAAATTTATGTGTAAATTATTATATATAATATTTTTAGTGTAAATATTTGATGTTATGGTTGGAGCCCAAAATAATTTGATACAAAAATACTAAATTTGGTTTAATGTCAATACTGAATTTAGTGTAATGGTTAGAGATGCTTTAACAAAAAATTTATATACTAAAACACTAAATTTGATATAATTTTAACATTAAATTTGGTATCAAAGTTAGAGATACCTTCATATATCTGTACGTTTTGTCGGCAGTTCATTTAATTATACCACTATTTTACTAATCATTTTAATTCTTACAAACATTTCATGCTTAAACATGTCATTTTATCATTTTGTTGACCAACATATGCAAGTTACATGCTTTTAATACTTTCTGCTAGAATATCACATATTAACCCATTTAAAAACTTTTACGTTTTTCCATCTCTTGGATAGGTCTTCATTGCCAGGAATCACACCGTCGTGTTTAATAAGCCATCAAGTTTTTTTGCGTTATATTTTTGTTATTATACGAACTATAGTATCGATATAGAAAAGATCACAAACAATTTTTTTTAAATTGACTATTTTTAAATGTTGAAACATTTTATAGTTAAAATAGTATAGTATGATTATTGAAAGACTGGAAACTGTTGTTTGTAATATATTTTTTTAGGGCTGTTATTTATAATGCTTTCCCTCAGAATCGTCATTGACTATACAAATGAAGAGGAGGAAGATATGAACTAGTTATTGAAAAAAAACGATGTATATGGCATCAAGTTCTTTAGATTTATAATATTGAGTTATTATACGAACTATACAAACGAAAAAGGAGGAAAATAAAAGATGAATTTTTCAAAAAGTTAAATTATAATATGAACTAGTTATTAAATAAAAACGATGTATATGGCATCAAGTTCTTTAGATTTATAATATTGAGTTATTATACGAACTATACAAACGAAAAAGGAGGAAAATAAAAGATGAAATTTTGCAAAAAGTTAAATTATAATATGGACTAGTTATTGAATTAAATGAAAACTCGTCTTGTAGTAGTAATATATAAAGACGGCTTAGTTCAAAAAAATATATAAAGACCGCTGCTACCCAGTATTTTTAATTTGGAGTCTTGCTTTTAAAGTCAACAATGTTCTCCTTCGGAGCTAAGGTTCAATTATTTTATAGTAATATTTAATTCCCGTTTCACGCACCAGATTTTCACGGACACAACTTTTTTGGCAACCAAAGTCTTCCCATCTGTTTCTAAGAATCATCCCATCTTTGAAGTATTATCAACACTCAGCGATAAGCCGACACCTTAGTAGACTGGTTTCTCTACCAAGTCATCCCCATTGGCGCTAAATTCGAGCATAATATTCGTGAATGAGATTAATACCCATTAATATATGGGCCCATTAAGGAGATAAAAATCTAAATGTAGTAATAAATAAATTAAATGAGTCTTGACAAAAAATGAGGGTTGATGATATTAAATTTTGTTGGCAAAGTTTGGTAGAATCTCACCGAAATATGTTTGTCATGTCACGTTCTGGCGTGAACTCAAACACGTGGTGTAGAAAACTTGGTCGGAGAGGTCTGAATTAATCCTGTTAGACCATCTCCAACAATAGAACCACCATTAGAGTTCTAAATTAATTTTTTAAGTAAAAATAATTAAATTAAAAATTTTAGATACTTGTTTAGTAATAGTCCCTCCAATGGTAGAATCAAGGAAAAGTTCTAAATTTCAAAAATTTAAAATTTTGTAATAAGAGATTACTTGCATCACACTCTATAATAAAAAAAACTTATAATTATTGAATTACATTAAATTTAAATTAACTTGACATAAAACATAAAACATAGATTGGGAAATCATAAATAAAGCTAAACGATTAGTAGTTATTTTGCTTTGTACCAAATTTACGCCATATATGCTCAACCAAATCATTTTTCAATTGTTCATGTATGTTGCGATCACGAAGTCGAGCTCGAATTGCCATCAAATTGCTAGTATTTGAAGGCATATCTGTAGAATACATGAAATCCACATGAGAACTTCTGTTTGATTCTACTTGTGTGAATTCTGATACATCAAACTGAGTGTACCCATCTCGTTCGTCTTCAACTATCATATTGTGTAATATTATACATGCTCTCATAATCTTTCCGATTTTTACCTTATCCCAAATAAGAGTTGGGTTTTTAACAATGGCAAATCGAGCTTGCAAGACTCCAAAAGCACGCTCGACATCTTTACGGACAGATTCTTGTACTGTAGCAAATAAGGATGCTTTCGGAGTTTGTGGAAGTGAAATAGATTGGATAAAAGTTGACCACTTCGGATAAATACCATCGGTAAGATAGTAAGCCAAATGATACTCTTGTCCGTTGACAAAGAAATTCACTTTTGGAGCTCGACCTTGTAATATATCATCAAAAACGGGTGACTTATCAAGAACATTGATATCGTTTGAGGTACCTGGAGGTCCGAAAAACGCGTGCCATATCCAAAGATCTTGTGAAGCTACTGCCTCTAGCATGATTGTAGGTTTTCCAGATCCACGTGTATATTGTCCTTTCCAAGCAGTTGGGCAATTCTTCCACTCCCAATGCATACAGTCGATGCTTCCTATCATCCCCGGAAAACCGCGCACCTCTCCAATATCGAGTAGTCGTTGAAGATCTTGTGGTGTCGGTCTTCTGAGATACTCATCTCCAAACAAATATATGATTCCTTCAACAAAATTTTCTAAGCATGAAATTGCAGTACTTTCAGCAAGACGGAGGTATTCGTCAAGAGCATCAGCCGCACAACCATACGCCATCATACGAATTGCTGCTGTGGCCTTCTGTAGTCCAGAGAGACCGAACCTTCCGGTAGCATCTCTTCTTTGTTGAAAGAATGGAACTTCATTGGCGAGTCGAGTAACAATACGCATAAACAAGGGTTTGTTCATTCTAAATCAGCGTCGGAATAGATGATGTGGATATGTTGCATTTTCGCAAAAATAATCGTTCCATAATCGGGTGTGTCCAGCTTCACGATCTCTTTCAATATAAGCTCGTTTTTTCTTCGACTTGGTTGGTTGTTGACAATCAACGGAAAGGTTTTCGAATTCTTCATTGAAAGCTTGTTGCATACTTTCATACAATGTTGATTCGAACGTTTCTTCAAGCATTTCTTCAAAAATATCATGGGAAGAAGATGCCATTTTTCTTAGTAAATAATAAAAAAAGATGATATAGCGAAAATTCTTAGTAAAGAATTAAAGAAGGAGATGATATAGAAAGATATAATCTTTTGTAATAAATTTGATTCTATACAATGTGAAATATATAGACAAATGTTGACGTGTTTACAATAGAAATTGATGGTACATAATGAAAACCAATATGCTAGAATATGGAACTTTAAAAAAGATTACAATTTGTGGTGCCAAATTAAATGGAATAAAATTCTAAAGTAAAATGAATACAATTCCGTGTCTGATTACATCCTCCCTCCATTACATTTATTAGATTCTTCTTGAGTATACACCATCAAATTAAAATGTCTATTAAAAAAAGGCTTCTCAATGTTTCGTCATTTATTAGATTCTTCTTGAGTATTCTAAACCCATTTCAGAACAACAAACAGAACCAAAGTAAAACCACAGTCTGATACTAAAGAGAATGCATTAGAAAACTGAGAACCAAAATACAAACCCGACACCAGTGTCAACATTGGAAAACAACAACAAACTACTTGGAAAACAATAACAAACTGACTTGGAAAACAACAACAAACTGACCTAAAACATTTAAACAAATACATATTAAGTTTATCACAACATATCACTTATTAGTTTGTCCCTCAAAGCTATTTCAATCTCAGAAAGAGGCTCCTTTTTTGCAAGGAGAGTCTCCAACATAGTCTGCTTATTAAGCGTGTCCCTCATTTGAAAGTCATGCTTCCTTATCTCATGATCCTGCTTCCTCATCTCATGATCCTGCTTCCTCATCTCAAACAACACTTGCAACTTCTCCACAGGCTTGGTACTGCTTGCTTCCATCTCTTTCGCCTTCAACCTTGCCTTTGCCTTCTTCACACCTTCAGGACGAGGCTCTTCTTGATCTCCATGGCTTGAAGACTGGACATAAGCTTGAGAACTAGCTTCACCTCTCTTTTTTTTTGATTTGCTGTTAGCTGTCCCAAAAGTAGACAGCCATTTCTGTTCATTTTTGAGCTCTCTCCAACAATGCTCAAGTGTGAACTTGGCACCGTTATCCTGGCGATAGATTTCATCAGCAAGACTCATTACATTATTGTCATTCTGCCCACTTTTCGGCTGACTTGTTGCAGTACGTAAGGAGCCAACAAACTTGGAGACTTGGTCATTGATCTTAGACCACCTTTGCTTACAATTGCCAACCTCTCTATCTGCCATATCAACGAGTTGAGGACTTGCATTGAAGTAAGCTCCAACTCTTTTCCAAAAGGTGCCAGCCTTTTGCCCATTCCCCGTGATTGGATCTTTGCTAGTGTTAAGCCAAGCACTTATGAGCACCAAATCTTCTTTTTGTGACCAGTTCCTTCTGCATCCTTTGTCTTCAGTCGTCTCTTGAGCTTGAGTTGGAGCATTATTAGTCCACTGGGAACTAAAAAGAGGAACTTCTGAAGCTCCACGATCTGTGCTCTGTGAGACAGAATCATATTGTTGGTTATTTAAAAGTTCCAGAAAACCAGAACACTGAGAAAATGAATTTGAAGAATCCATTTTTACTTTCTGGCCTAAAAAGGAAGGATAAAAAATGAGATAGAAAATGAAAGCGCAATGGAGAAATAATGGAACTCAAGTGTGTTGCTTTAATAAAAGGTGTGAGTGTGTTAGCAATAAAGTCTTACCTAATCTAAAACCAACAAAGCATTGATCACGTTAGGTGTGAGTGTGATTAAAACCAACCAAGCATTGATCATGTTACTTCTAGTCAACTTCACGTTAGAAAAAATTAAGAGAGAGTTAAGAGAGAATGGACAGTTACCAGTAATCAAACAAGGTATCAGTAAAACCTCCAGGCCATTAAATGCTATCACGATAACCTTGTATCTCACTAGTATCTCATTCTCTCTCTCAGCATCTGCAGCCCCATGTACCTCAAAGTAAGAACCAAAAGGCACATCATGTGGCTGTTGCACAGTTTCAAAAACCTATAGAAGAAACCGATGTATGAAGGCTAATGATCTAAATAGTAATACCAAAACTTACATTAATGATCTAAATAGTAATACCAATCCAGAAGAACCACGTGGCCATATCTGATTTTTAGAAACAGAGTAAAGTCATGTTACCTGTATCCGGACGACACCGGAGTAAAGTCATAAACTTCTGCAAGTAGCCAAAAAAAGTTTCTCAGATAATCAACAAAGATAAGAACGCTAACTAAAAGAAGACAGAGACATGTTCACATGAAAAAGGTAGACATAGACAACAATAAAAACCTTGCGGGAGGATAATCTGGTGAATGGGGTTGGAAAGTAAGTACGAGAGATGGACATGGAGTTGTGTTTTTGAGTGTTTGTGCCCAGAAAATGAGAAGAAAGTTGATGCAAAGTCTATAGGGTTATCTCCTTGGAAAACTCCATTAGAGGTTGCTTTCATAAAAGCTGGACAAGCTTGCGCAGTTGAAGTATTTGTAGCCATTCTTGCAGATGAAAACAAGAAGCTTTTTTTATTCCCGGAGAAGATGGAAGAAAGTAACTCAACTTCTTTCTTCTAACTCCCTACTAAGAATTGAAATACAAAAAATAAGTGAAGCTTTGATCTAAAATCGTACTTACATATATATGAAAGTGAAATACTTTTACAATCCTTATTCCATTAGAATGACAATAAATTAAATTAAATTCAACTTCTTATCGATCAGATTCTCTCATAAACATTTTAATAAGAAAAAAGAGAGAAGATTCCACTAAACACACATACCACATGCATAGAGTTGCACCAGAGAGATATACTATACGATCTACAACAACAAAACTAAATTCTTACTTCACCAAAAAGAAAAAAACTAATCTAAAGAACCCGATGTATGAAGGCTAATGAACTCCACAACACAGAGAGCAAGTAAACGTGAAACTTAACACAGTGATAAACATGAAAAGTCAGAAACTTACAAACTAGAAAATGGGATAAGCATCTATGTCAGGGTCAGGGATGATTCCACCATCTTTTTCTCTTTTACTGACCTCCATCATAATATCTGTTTCAGAAAATATTCTATGAGATAAATCATAGCAGAGCTGCGAAAACAAACAAAGGATCATACTTTTGATTAACTAAACCAAGTTTCTTTCAAACCCCATCATTCTAATCGATCAGAGATTCAATACAATAAATAAAAAGATTGGTCTTTTCCTGCAAAATCCAGGAAAAAGATTCCATTTTTTTTGTGAAACTCACCTGTTATTTCACGCTCCTGAACTTGAAGTGGGAGAGTCAGCGTCATCTCAAGTGCTCCAAGATCGATTCATTGACAACCAATCTCCGAATTTCAATCTCCCTGCCTCCTCCGTTTCACTCAAAGCTTGATTCTTTCGAAACCTATGGAGAAGAGAGTCTTCAATATCTGAGGAATATGAGCAAGCAGAGAATTTCCTTTTGGATAACATCGTTATCTTGGAGACTCCACGTGACGGAGAAGAACCAGCCGAGGATCGCGGAAGGGAGGAAGGAACGTGTGGCGGCAAAGACGGCATCTCTGTTTCGTCAATTAGTTTCCTCACGAAAGAGAGAGAAACAAACAACAATTAGTTTTTTTTTAAAAGAAAGAAATACTGCCTATCTGACACGTGTCATTTAGAATTGCTTCCAAAAGTACCAATTATAGAACCATATCTAACTTAATTATACCATTTTGATTTAAATTTATCCACTTAATTAGTTAGATACATGCTTTAGAAGTCTCATAGATCCTCCATTGGAGGTGGTCTTAGTAGTTAGGGTAACGCCCGAGAAAAGTAAAACCAATGCAAAGAATATTGTTAAATACTACTGATTTTTTTTTGAAGGGGCTTAATTTTTCTGATTTTAGTAATGTGATTCAAACTCCTTCGTCCTTGCCCTACTCCCCATGTCAAGATATAATCAACAAACTTGGATTCATTCTGTTTCTTACATCAAATGTACCGTATACGAACTTTAAAAAGGTACTAAAACTAAACTATTTAATTAAAACCTTTAGTTAGCCCAGTTGGTTAATGCCATAAGTTTCTAAAGAATGAGGAAAGTTGGAACCTCACAATATCTATTATTTTACCAGTATTTCGTAGTCTCACGATCCGAGGAGAGGTATCAGTAACAAGTAGGTAGGGTTCTAGGAGTTGTTCATAGCTGTACTCGTAGCCTAATTAATCTCATCCGAGTTCCCTCGCTTGGATTTGCATGGTTCTCGCTTCCTTTAATGTTTAAATAAAGCCCTACTAAGTCTACTTTAACATAAAAAAAATAAAAATAACACTTCTCCTTTTAGTTTATTTTTGAGTTTACAATAAATAAATAAATAAAACGATCGTGGGTTTGATCGTCTTTCTTTTTCTTCTTTTCGATACTTTTTAAATCGTCCTTTCGTTTTCATAAAAGATTGTGAGAGAATGTGGCTCGTTAAAATTAGAGCTTATGCAGCGTTTTTGCAGACCCTACTTCTGTAATACACTCATTGCAATCGGGAGGCATTATAAATTTTTTTTTAACTAAGATTGCAGTTCAAAACTATTGTAGAAATAAACGATAAACGACGACGTCCTCATCCAAACTGATCGGGTTAAAATGAATTATAAATTATGCTTATCAGTCCAAAATAATATTTGTCAGGATCTACATTAATGTGGTTGGTGACTGTGTGGGCACTGGCCAGTTCTCAATAATCGTCCAATGATGTTAATATGTAATAGATTAAAGCCACTAAGGCTGGAAAGGCGAACAAAATTTTCATACTAAATAAACAATTCGTCGATCGGAATACAGTGATAACTTATGTGTGATAGTAGAAAACACTTGAATAGATATGTGTGTGTTATATAGTGTTAGTGTATGTATGTAAGTGAGTGTTGTTGTGGGCGAATCTGCAAAGGAATATACAAGGTGGCTGCTTTATTTTTTTTCTGCATTTTGTTTTCTTGTCTAAGTGCCTCAAAGCCACATGTAATCTCACATGGCCTGTATCTCTCTTTTTGTTATATAATACATATCTCATCTATAATATGCAGTATAAATGGAAATGATATGAGCACACCATAGCATTTCATTAACTTAGAATATATTTTCTTCTAGTTTTCAGCTTTGAAATTCTAAAAACTCAAGATGTATCTTCAGTTAAGTGTTAGAAAATTGATTTAATTATAAAAAAACTATTTTTTCAATGTTAATTGATAAAACAAAAGGTTAAAGTCAGTTTAAAACCACAAAAACTAAACAACAAATTTACATCCATTTAAACCAATAGAAATAAATTAGTACGAAAAAGTTATCCTAGTTCTAAATTAAACCCCCATACAAAACAATTAATAGAGAAACGTGATATTTGGTGATTTAAATTCTCTTTTTTAAAGGAGTTGAAGCTATCTTGCATGCAATTTCTTTCCCTTTCTGTGTCAACTTTTGCCGGCCACTCAACGAAAATTCCTATTTCTACATTAAACTCCTCTTCAAGCTTTTCAGATTCTATCCATTATTCATTATATTTCATTTTTCAACAGTCTTTACTTTTATTCAAACCTCGAAACCTTTCTATTTCTGGCTTTTCTTGATTTCTTTTGAGAATATTCCATCATGAGCCATCCATTCACACGTACGCTTAAGTCCATAAATTATATTGGGCCTACTGCTTGTGAAAACAGGCCCATCGCTCAGCTTATTCTCTTTCTTCATTACGCACCATTACTAAAAATACTGATGGTTTGTTAACTTTGATGACCATAAAACCTATAGGATGATAAAAAGACCAGTAGTAAAGTAACTTTGATGGCCATAAACCTATAGGATGATAACAAGACCAGTAGTAATGCAAGTAACAAATGAATGAGCTGACACCAAGGAAGCGTTAAAATGACGAAACTATTTACCTTGTTGTATCTTGTCTTGAGTACAATATTGACGGTAGGCCATTGCGGGAGTCGGAAGTTGACGTCATCAGTGAAAGACGGCCACAGTGTTGTTGAGTGGGAATAAGATGGAAACGGCAAAACTAAAACTATTGTCTTGCTTTCACCGCCAGGAGAAGGATAAGAGAAGACAGAAGGCGAAAGAGAAGTGCTTAGAAATGTGAAAAAGTGATAGAAATGACGTCTTCTCTTCCGGTTAGGAGAGCTCATAAGCGATGACATCGGCAAGTGTAAGCACAAGAGGACGTGTGAGATGAGAGAATCTTATATATTAAAACAAAAATCATAACTTCATTTAATGTGTGATATTTAAAATTTTAGACATATTCTTTGATTTTATTCTCTTAATATATTTTATATTATTATGCCTAACTAATCAACTATATAACAACATACATCTATAATTCCGGTTTGGATAACCAACATATAATTTCTTCAATCTCTCGATTTTCAGAGTAAAACATATTAACTATACTTACCACTAAATATACAGCAGTCGAACCATTCATTATAAATTTATAGCATATATATGTTTGGTCTGAATAGAAATATAACTTCTGGTTTGAAAATCTCCATCACATGTGATTCAAACTACCTTCGACCTGCAATATATACATGATGTTAGCATGAAACGTGTAAACTTTCTAATAAACTTTTACAAATGTTATCATTTAACCAGTTGTCCCAACATTATACATATCTTAATTAATATCGACTAAAAGATTTGTGATCAAATTCAAAAACTAATCTTTTTTCTTATATCTATACCAATCAGACCAAACCGAAACCATCTACTGATTATACAAGTTTTGTAATCAAACAAAAAATCTTATATATTAAAATAGAAGTTAGCACTTCATGTGTGATATTTTTTTTTATAATTTGGACCATCACTCAAATTTTTTATTAAATATATTTTACTAAGACTAATAATATATATAATCTTTAAAATACTTTTATCATAATATCTTTTGATATCTTTTCATTTTAAATATAAGTATATTTATTTAAAAATTCTAACAAATATGTTTTAAAAGGTTTTTTTATAAGATCTTCATTTTCGATATTATCTTTATTATATTTTCACTAATATTTAAAATATTTTGAAATATTATTATACATTAAAATAGTCAGTTAAAGTCTACAAAATGAAAATAAAAAATTATATCAGATTATCTATTATATAATCATAATCATCATATTAAAAGAAAATTATTATATTGAGCTAAATATTATAAAATTGTATTAAATTGATAAAATTATATATTTTATTTTCGTAAGTGTAAAAATTTATCTTCAAAAATAAAATCTAATATGTTGGTAAGACGAGTTAACGTTAGTAAACTATATAATACATATATATAAACTAACAAATATTTCATTAAAGCTAATAATATAAAATTTTTGTAACTAATTTAATCATGATATATTTTCGTTATATATATATGTTTATATATATTAAGTTTTAAAAAATTCTAATAAATCTGTGAAAAAAATATTTTTACAATAACTTAATGTATTTTAAGTTATCGTTTATAGAATAAAAAATTTAAATTATATCATATATTAAATTTAATCATCATGCTAAAAGAAAATTATTATATTAAAGTAAATATGATAAAATTATATTAAATTGATAAGTTTATAAATTTTATTTTCATAAATATAAACTATTTATTTTGAAAAATGTAATAAGATGACATAACGGTTTAAAATTAGCAAACTATATAATATATATCTAAAAATTAACATATCTTAGACTTTTGTATATAAAATAATATATTATCTGAAATGAATAAATATAAAAATATTGGTAAAATAAAATTCAACGTTGAAAGACGGGTCAGAATTTACCATAAATTAAATACAAAATAATTTTCAAATATGTTTTCTCATGAATATGTTAATTTTCTTAATAACTAAATGCAAATACAATAAGATAATATATAATAAGAAGTGACAAATAAATATGATTTTAAATAGTTGATTTATATAACATGTAAATTACAAAATTATTCTATTTGAAATAGTTATATAAATATTTAAGTATATGATTAACTTTAAAAATATATACCACTTATGTTCTAAAATAAATATGTATATAAAAGTGAAAATAAACATCCGTACGGTTGAGTTTGATTCACTTAAAAAAAAAAAGTTTGATTCACTCTCTCTATATACAATTAATTAGTAATTTGCCAAAATCTTCTATATATTAGTATTTGTCTTTTTAACCTTTCAATGTGAAATCTTAATACGTGTCATTTAGAGATAATAGCTCTACTCACTGTTCAAAAACGCGGTCGCCTAGCCGCCTAGGCGGCCGCTTAATCGCAATTCGGCCCTCACCCGCGGCGATTTTGACCTAATCGGTCAAAAAAATCGGAGACCAATTACTCAGCCCATAAAACCGATTAGTCGACCCATTTATCGATTAGTCGGCCCAGTTATGGATAAAACAGACCTCAAATTTTAACTATGATGATACTTTTATGGGCTTTTATAAACCCGTATACCTTATTATTCTTATCATGTGTACTAATCTATATATAGAGTAGTAGTTGGTCACTTTTCTCTTATCTAACCGATGTGGGATGTTTCCCTTCAGAGTTAATAAATCGAAAATAATTAAAACGCATCTTAAGGGAGTCGTATCCGGGTTGAACATCGTAATATTAGGCGCCTCAACCACTAGGAGAATTCGATTCTTTGTGTGTATTGCGCATATGTTAATATATATATGATTTGCATATAATAAAAACACAAAAACTAATCCCCGATTAATCTCCGATTAGTCCCCGATTTGTTATCTAGGCGCTAGGCCCAATCCGGCCGCCCGACTAGCGCCTAGCGAATTCCGGAACATTGGCTCTACTGGTCTAATTCCACTTTTTATAATCGCTAATAAATCTTTTTGGACCACTTATACTTGGATAAATAAAAAAAGGAAAGAAGTAACAAACATTTAAGGAAGAAAATCTTCATAAGAAAAATAATCTCATAACCAAGAAGGCAATGGTGTACCAAGAAGGCCAAAGAGATCAATACTATTCCTTTTAACTAAATCATAAAACAGAAACAATCAACACATTAATCTTAACCATGATAGTCCATGAAAATAAGACACAGTTGAATGTTTTTGAAAGGCTACTCTATCATGGCGATGGCTGATCCTGATTCTACAGCCTTAATTCTTTCTCTGATGACTTTGATCTTCTTCTCAACCACATCGGCTGCTTTGATCAGATCCTCCGAATAATCAGCATCGTGCATGTCAGTAGACGAAGCTATCAACCCAAGTTCCATCGCACGGCTATGCATCTGCTCTTTCTCCAACTTCTTCTTTGCGTCTTGGATCATTCTTGTCATCAAATCTTTCTGGTCCATCATGAACTTGGTCTGCTTCTTTTCCGGAAGTGCCCTTAACTTTTTGAGAAGAACACGAACCTCTTTGCGGTTTGGCCAGACCTCGGGACCTTCCTCGTACACGCTGTAGATGATGGCGCAAGCGCGTAAGCCACAAAGAATGGTTAATTCATTGAGCTTCTTCAAGAGACCATGTTTGCGTTTTCTGAACGTAACTCGGCGAGTGGAGTTGTCAGAAATCAGCTGGTGTGTTACTTTTCTTCTGCCCATGGTGAAAAAAAGAACAACAATGACAAGGAGATGAGGAGTTGTGTGTGTTTGAGGGGCCAGATGGGTAAGTATTATATAGAGTTTCTAACTTTGATATCTTGGCTCGGTCCAAAAGAGGTTCCAACAAATTATAGAAATGATTTAAAAGAAAAAGTACATATTAAGGTGTAAAGACAAATAGCAATATTATCTTTCTAAAATAAGAAGATTTAATTTGAAAAAGTTATCCTTTTATTAATGTGTCTTATGTTGGTTAGTCTAGAGAATCTACAAGATAGGAAGGTAATATTTTCTCTATTAACGCCCCATAAATATTTTACTATAGAAAATGTTTGAACATTTTGGCTGTCAATGTAGCCAAGTAGAACTGGGTATGACGCGTTGTCAACTCGTGCAGTGTCGATCCAACACTTTTAGAAGCTTTAAACAAAAATTTTAAAACATATTTTTACATTCTTTCCCAATATCATAATCATATATATATAATATAAAATATCACACAAATTATTTAAATTAGTTCAACTCTAATGATATTTATTAAAGATAATATGAAATTATCGTATAGCCAATTTTTTAATGTTATTACTAACATTTTGATTATAATCAATTATAATTTACTAATATCAGTTATTAATACAAAATCTCACATATACAAATAATATTTTTCTTATTTTATATAATTTATATTTATATTTTTAGTTACATTTTTATATAATTTTCTTAAAGTTTATATGTTAAACATAATTTGTATTTATTTGTTAATAAAAATAATAAAAATATTAATATTGTTTATATAATCTTAACTAATAAACATATTGTATTCCCTCGTATTATATGTCCTAAACGATGGTTTATGTGGCTTGTCCTTTAAACCCGATTCTGTACATATGTTGACTGTAGTGTGTTCATACAAGATTACAAGTAGTCAAGTAATGATTATTTGACCAACAAAGTATTATGTATGTTGTTGAAAACAATTTGTCAACTAACTAATAGTACCAATAAAAACTTTCAACTAAAAAGAAAGAATGCAAAATACTCTTACGTACAATTATACAAGAAAATCAGTAATTTTTTTTAAAAAAATATTATAGTCTTGTAACTTTTATATTTGTTAAGCTTCAAAAAAAAAGAAAAAAAACCTTTGATATTTATTAGTTTAGAGAGTTATACATTTATTAATATCTTAAATAACATCAAAACTCATTATCTTTTTATCTATTAATTGAAAATAACTTAAATGACGTTTGTTGATGTGTCATTCATATGAGATTTCTCCAGTTAATTGTTTTAATTTGATTGATTAATAATTTTGTATTTTTGATTTATTTAATTTAATTTTAAAAGTCAATAACTAACTTACATCAATAACAAAACAAATTATATTTACCAATAATAATTATCACAAATATGTAATTAAAGAAATTGTGTCATTTTGTATCATAAATAATCTTGTGTATTTAATAAAATATTTCTTTTAAGAAAAGAGAAATTTAAAAACTTTCCCTTACACATTTTATAGATAATAACAAAAATACAACTAGTTGCTAGTAAGTTTATCACTTATGTATTATATGGATACTAATATACATTACATATATAAAAAAAATAAAATAATATTAGTAGCTTGATCAAAAAAAAAAAAATTAGTAGCTAAGAAATTTTGTTATTTGTATATTTTATATATATTTATGATATAAAAATGTGAATAATCACAGACTTTACATACAAAGTATTTGTATGTGGTGTGTCTAACTGTTTTCATTTATTTGAATCATTTAATTGAAATTTGTTTATAATATCTTTAAACCTTCAGAGTATACCCCTAAATCAGATTAGGGGTCAAATAGAGAAGGATGATATTTTACAAATAATGAAAAGTATAGGATAAGTCGGAGTACCAAGTGGAGCGGATCTCCTGACAGAATAAAACCACTGATGATGTATGGACATACGATTGGTACACTCAAGACGCACTGCTGGAAAGTTAGATGTCCACCCAAGATTAAGTATTTTATGGCAAGTTATTTTAAGATATATAGCGGTAAAAAAAAAATAAGTAAAATAGAAATTAAAGGTGATATATGTTGCACTCAGTGTGGAGACCAGAAGAATCAGTGAACCATGTTTTTTTTGAATGTCCACCTGCGTTACAAGTTTGGACACTATCTCGTATTCCATCAAATCCATATATTTTTCCAACACAATTACTCTTCACGAATATGGATCATCTATTTTTGCAAGTGCGTCCACATATGGAGGATCATCATTATGCATAGATAATACATTACATCTGGAAAGGGAGAAACAATAAAACTTTTAGTAATATAGATGTTGATCCTAGAGATATTCTCAAACTGGCAGAAATATAATCATTAATGCGGGCTGAAGTACAAACGACACTTACTCAAAGGATACTCCCAAGCAGTGGGGACGAGACCATAACATTACCACATATCCCCGGCAGATGATATTTTGTATATGAATTATGGGAGGACAAGAAGCCACTTTCGGGACAAGGCTGGTGTAGCAACCTGGAAAGTTTTGTTGGGCTAATGGGGGTACAAAATACTCGTACTAGTCTTTCACCGCTTCACTCTGAAGTGGAGGCACTTATATGGGGAATGGAGTCCATAAAGAATTTACGCCAATACCAGATAACATTCGCAACGGATTGTTCTCAATTGGTGAAGATGATTTCAGAACCAAAACAATGGTCAGCTTTTGCAAGTTATTTAGAAGACATCAAGGCCCTTAAATGCAGTTTACACTGGTCTGAGCTTCTCCAAGTACCTCGTACTATGAATTCAAAAGAGGATAACTTTGAACGCAGTGCTCATAAACAATCGACTTTCGTCGTCCATATGGATTCAGAACTCCCGGTTTGGTTTTCAGAGTCGTCATGAATCAATATTATGTTGATGACAAAAAAAAAACACTTTCTACTACCACTAGTAAAATTAAACCGCATAGCCACTGAGATTTCGTGGCTATAGAATATAAAAACCGTGGCTATGTGGAAGAAGCCATGTTTCTATGTCAAAAATCTACCGTGGCTATAGCTTCGTAACTAACTGAAAACCGTGGCTTTTCGTGGCTTTAAAGCCACGGTTTTGCCACTATGCTTTCGTGGCTTATTAAGCCACGGTTATTCCTTTTTAGCGTGGCTTTATGGAAGCCATGTTACCAAGCCACGTTATTTGAATATAGTTTCGTGACTTTTGAAGCCATGTTTTTCCGTCACTTTTATATCGTGGCTATTACCCATGTTTTAAATCGTGGCTTTTCTTGTTTAATAACCCACGAAACAATAAGCCACGATTCTGGTTTTTGTACCTGATTTTGTTTTTTGATATTGTTTTGTTTTGTTTTTTGTTTTGATTACCTAATTGATATAGATTTTAATTTCTAATTAAATTCTAAACACACACAAATTAAACAAAACATGAAATTGCATTAGTAGAAAGTTGTTTTTACAAAAAGAGTTAATAGTACAAGCCTAATAATAATATGAAACAAAGAGTTGAGTTTGAGGGACCAAAAGAGAGTTTATGGTACAAGAGACTTGTGTTGAGACCAAAAGAGAATTATGGTCTTGAGACTTGAGTAGGAGCTTACTGATGAGGAGTTTTCTGCTGTGGAGTTTGTAGCTGAGGAGTGCCTTGCTGAGTGGATGCTTGTTGGGCTAGAAGAGTTTGGAGAAGCTGATTGACTGCAGCTCTTGTTGCTGCCATGTCCTCCTTCATCATTGACATGTCTTCCTTCACTGCATCAACATCAGAAGTGACGCTTTGCAGGTTCGTCTCAAGACCACCCACACACATCTAAAGCTCCAGGTTACATGCAAGAGAAGATGGGACTCTTGCAGACGGAGGATGTTCCCTATACTGGGCACTGCCGAGTCCATAAACATGCCCCCTCTTATTCTTAACATTCTGAGATCAATGACAAAACAAATAATCACTATCACACAAGCATAAAACTACAACAGTCTAAAATATTAAAAACATACAATTACTAATCACAAAACATTATACAAACACATAGATAAATAGTGACATACCTTCAGATAAGCTTGGTTTAGCATGAGGCGAGAAGGAGCTGAAGTTTCTGATGGACTTTGAGGTGATCCTTCAGTGTTAGATAGCTGTGTGGCTTCCATCTCAGCTTGAGTAACCAATTCTTCAGCTCGATAGTCCACAAATGTCCCATCTTTGCATGTGTGTGTCCTCCTCACAAAATCTGTGAAGGATGGACGTTCACCATTATTCTGCACAGTCTGTAAAGACAGAAATTAAATTAGAGTTTTTAAAAAATTTAAAAGTTAAAGACAGAAAAATAAAATAGACTTTTTAAAAAATTTAAAAGATAAAGAAAAGACATACCATGATGTATTCATGCCTTGCAAAACCACAAGGCCCTGCGTTATGCTTGTGTTCTACTTTACTAACCGGATCTGACTTGCGGCTTGTAGCAGCTTTCTTGCTCTTCTTCTTGGCTGCTTCTGTCGCCCAATACTCCATTAGTGTATTCCAGTCCTCATCGTTGATGTACTTAGGCTGCTTGTTCTTCCTCTTCTTGGTGCTAATCCTTTCACCTATCGATGTCCACGTCTCCTTCTTCCACAGGGCATAGACCAAGTCATTAAGCTGAGGCTCCCAGTAGTAGTTTTGCTACAAAAGAAAATTATACAATTAATAACAAACAACAAAATAAAACTAATAAAATTAGGGATAAATAACTTACAACAAACGTGTACCACCATGATACCCTCCTTTCTTCAGGAACACTCCTCCAACTCTTCCAAGGCCCCATGAAATATCCTTGCCATGTTGCTCGAATGAAAGAATGCACTTCTGGGTCAATAGAAAACCTACACAAATTACAAAAATCATATCGGTTAGTTCTAAACGACACAACAAGCATCAGAGACAAAATCCAGAGACAATCATAACGTAACTACTCAATTCTAATATGATAAATACTAATCAATACTAATC